CTGGGTAACTGCCTCAGCACTCAGATGTCTCTTGCATCTGGAATATTTTTAATGCAGTTTAAAATCTGCAATAAATAATAATATTGAATATTGTTTCAAGGAAAATATAATATTTTGAGGTATACAAAGTAAACATATACTTTGAGGAGGATTGCAGGAAAAATTATTGGTTAAGTACAGATGAGAATCATTTCTCAGAAACCATACCTGAAGCGCTCCTGGATGGGTAAGAACTATAATATTTCAAATGGTGCAGATTAATGCGGTTAATATACTTGGTGGAACACCAATGGATGGATGATTTGACTTGGCAACGCTTAAAGCAAACAAAAAAATATGCCTAAACATTTGGACAATGCCTCAACATGCAGACGCATCCAAAACATTTTAGAAAAATGGAAAAATTATTCATTTTGATATCTTTCAAACAAATTGAGATATTTGTATTCCCAAAAATTAAAAATGCACTTCATTACAAAATTAATCTAACGCATTACTGTATAAGAATGGACAAATTGTGTACTTTTGTAATCAAATGTGCATAGCATACCTAGACTTGTTCTTGTTCTTTGCTTCTCAAACTCATTCTGATGCTAAAATATCAGATTCTGCATGGTATTCTGAGGTTGATTGATCATATTCTGTGCAGGTTTCTTCTGCACAGATATTATATTCTGTATCTGGACGTTTAAAAAATTCAAGTTTCAGGGACTTCATTATTAATTTTTGATGAACATCTGAACCAATTGAATGCGTTCCCATTGAAGTCTGAGGGAAAATGTGATTCAACATATAGGGATGCTTGGACACATGGACAAGGTCCAAGCAGAAATTACATCCACATTTCGGGTCCCCACGGTTCTGTCTTTGATAACTCAACAGAAATTCCAGATTCATCCATCATCCCTGGTACTTGAAAGCTGAAAAAAAAATCAACATTCAGAGGCGGTACTCCAAGAGGCCAGATTTTTTTTCCTGCCGTAGTGTTCCTTTGAATTTTGAAATTCCAAGGAACTTTGTCACTAAAATAGGCGCGGGACATCCCAATGTTCGGAAAGCAGTCCCGAGAACGAGGCTTAAGAAGCAGTCGACTTAAATCGAAATGATGAAACAACCGGGTCATCCATTTATGCAAGGAAAGCCTTCCGCGAATCTCGAACGCGCGGTACTCGGAAGTCTCCGTCGGGGATTTTGCCCGAAATGCTTTCGCATCGTCGGAGTTCCCGGAAAAGCTTCGGAAGTTCCCCCGAAAAGTAACCTGACGTAGTTGAAGGGTATATTTCCCTGGAAATCTCATTTTTGCTGCTCAGCTGTTGAGCTGAAACTCGCTGAACTGCTGGGGAAAAGTGAGGCGAACTTTTTATTGATGCACATTAGAACCCCAACATGCGGACATCAAACTTCGCAAAATCTTGTCTCGATATCTGGACATTCAATCGAAGTGGAGGCAACGGATGCCATGTGGCTCTTATGATGAGAAGATTTTTTTAGATGAACGTTGAAGTTGAATGCATTGAATGAGGGCCAGAAAAAAGCCTTTTAGCGCTTCCCAGAGTGAAAAAAGACAATGAATTTCTGTTTTTGGTAAAACCGGAAATTAATAACGCGTTTTCCGGGATTTTTTGGTTCTGATGACGACTTCTTTCACTGCTGGTGACGAGTATTTGGAGTACTCCAGTACATGTATTTATCGAGAATTCCAGGCTCTGGACACTTTCTCCGAATACAAATCTGAAAGTACTCGAACGATAATTGAACTTCCGTCAAATGGGAACGATGAGTGACAGAGAGTTGGAGAATATTCAAAGTTTTAAGCTGCAACACAAGTACAGTACTGTACCAGCCTAATGAAGCTTTTCTCAATATTTTTCAATATGTGTTCAGGCTTATCTCCGCAGAACCGTCGTCATATTTCTTAATCATCTGCGCATCATCATTTGCATATGACGTCGTTCAGAACAAAACGGAGCACCCTCAGAAATCTCTGGAATGTATTGACTAGCGCTCTAATTAATCTCAGGTTTCTTGGAAAACTATTCGCCCAACTTTTGGGAAATTCGGGTGCGTTTACTCCGGTGCTAGCGAAATTCCATTAGGTCCCCGGAACGCATTTACGACGAAGTTTTCATGCGATGCTCTGCATAATGCAAACAGTTGGCCTTCACTTTTCCCAGTACAATTTGCATGTGGACTGAGAAAGCCAAGAGTTTCCTTCAAATGGTGACAAGAGGGAATATTCGGAGTAACACATGGAATTATGGATCTGGCGGATCAGCCTCTGTTGGGTTCACAGAATCTTATAAGTGACCCAATTGGATTTTGAGCTCTAGAAATTAGGGAATCCCAAGGAAATTGAAGGATTGATTTCCATACTGATGGAAAATTGTGGACCTGAGGGGAAAATCGCATGACCCTGGCTTGCAATGATGTACAGTCCAAACTGGATTCAATGAAAATATTTGTTCAGAAGGATTTTGACAGTTTAAAGGGGGTGGTTGCTTATTAACTTATGCACAGCAACAGGTTCTTTTCCTTCCAAAGGTGAAGCCAGGATTGTCATTTTTTAGGCAGGTGCAGTTTGGATTGACTGAGTGCCAGCATTTTAGCCAAATAGGGCAGAGCAGCCCATGTGTGAGATTCTGTGGGAGGAAAACCCCATGCTGTTTTCAAAAATATATGTGTTGATCCCATTGCAGAAGTGCAAAAAATGAGCCAACTTGAGCATCAGTAACTCATGATGACTGCAGGGGGTGGGTAAAAAATCCAAGAATTTTGTTGACTCTAATAATCCTTCTTCAATCAAGTCTTGAACACTCAACAAATAAACCCTTCCTCTTTAGCCTTTCTTTATGCATTCCTTGTCTCATTTCCAGAAAGCGTCATGAAATCCTAATTCCCCCCTATTTTCCCCTCACCCCCATGTTTTGCGAATTTTCATTTGACTTTATCCTCAAAGAAAACAACTTTCTTTTCAACTCAGGAAAAAAAGGGTATTCCCTGACCCACCAAAAACAGTCACAATGTGTGTGAAAGGTTCAACCCGACAGGGACAATGAATTCAATAGGGGCAGGGGATATCATGGCAATCTGTTGGCCAGGGCAATCATCCTAGTACCAGGAGTTCAACAACATTTTATGGTCATGACTTTTGTTTCTAAAACAAAGACAGAATGCAATGAAACTTCTAAAAACCTGATGAAGAATAACAAATAAGCTTCCTTCCAGAGTTTCTGGAAGAAAGCTTTCCAGATGTATTTTGAAAGGAAGTGAAAGACTAAATTGGGAATATGAACACCCGTAACCCATGTGAAACAAAATCATACATGTGTATGACTTGATGCAAGCAACACATGAGATAGAGGAACTGGGAATGACAGGAAAGATTCATGAATGAATGAATGAATGAACAGAACACTTTATTTGCCACTTTTCAGTGTTCATAAGGTTCAATCAAGATTTATCTAAATCAAGATCAATCAAGATTTATTCAATCTGAAGATTCATTTAGAAAACATTCCTAATCCCAGGATCCTTTAGTCATCATTCACCAATAAAAAACACACTCCTAATCCTACCAAACAGAGAAAAGTTGGAGAGGATCTGTGAAAGGGATAATTTGACTCTATATTTGCAAAAATTTTGAGAATTTAACATCAATATATTGCATTGTGCTTGAGAAGAACAACATTTGCTCAACCTGGCTAGTTTCAGTTGAAACCATGAAAAATTGAGTTTTTCAGCAGAAATTTTTGGAAACAAGCCAGCATGGTTTCCCTTTTCCTTGGTTGATGTCAAATAAACAGGTGTTGGTGATTTTGCTCTTCCAAATTCCAAGAATCTTTACAAACGCTTACTTTCCTGAATAAAGAAAGAAGAGGGAGCACCTCACACTGATGAGAATTGCAGTTTTGGTACTTTCCTATTATCTCTGTACCTACTTTCCTGTTATCTCTGTACCTTCCCTCTGACCAATTTAACCTGANTTTAACCTGACCTAACCTAACTTCACCTAACCGCCTACCAAAATCAGTTTCTGCTTTCTTTTGGTTTCTGCTGAAACTGATTTTGGGAGGAGGTTAGGTAAAGTTAGGTTAGGTCAGGTTATGTTAATTAAAAGATATTTGTAACTAACATAACCTGACCTAACCACCTCCCAAAATCAGTTTCAGCAGAATTTGGAAAAATAAATTCAGTTTCTGGTAGGTTGTTGTGATTATGAACTCGTCCTAAAGATTTGTCTGGATGGTAGTGTGGTCTTGCAGAGTAGGTACTGAGATGACTGGAAAGTGCCCATTTTTTCCACAGAGATAAAGTGTCTCTTCTCTTTATTCTCTTGTCTAACAGAGTCGCTGACCTGTTTCCGGTCTATCTCTCAAACTACAGTTTCAGACATCTTGGGGGGAGGGCATAAAACCCTTCATTCGAAAACAATTCGTACCTGATCGTGATAAAGAAGCCCGATAGCCAAACCAAAGGATCGCGATCCAAAGGCCTCCGCGGGAACAAATTCGTACAATATCGATCCTTGTTCTCCGGGCGCCACGTCGTAGTCATGCAATGTCAAACTCGAAAAGTTTTGCATGAAGTAATTATAATCCATGGGGTACCTCAAGGATCCATCCAAAACTGCCAACGACAACACCTTGTCTCCTTTATTGTGGAATCCAACAAGAACTTCCACGGATTTCCCGGCCGGCAACTCTAAATGGAACGAAAGATGATGGAGATTTTCAAGAAAGTTGTTCAAGAATGCTTCAAGCTACTTCAGCATGTGAACAACCTTCAGAATTACAGAATAACCGTCGATTTTGATGAGAAACCCCGAGAGAGAGTGACTGTCATACTTCCTGCTGGTAAAATACTAGCGTACTTCAAGACAGACTCAAATTTAATAATTTCATACAGTGCCAATACTATCAAAAATGACAGAAAATATTAGGTTGAGCAGATCTTCGTTGATGTTGCCCTGCATATTCATCAAAATCCGGAACATTTTCCAGAGGAAAATTCAGAATATCTTCGCGAGACTATTGAAAAGAACGAAATAAATGCTCTACAACTTTACACTGAGTGAACAAACTTTGATTGATGGATCATGAATAATTGGAAATCACAGATACGGCATTTCCATGCCTGTTGCAAAACTGCGAATTACGGAATATTTATAAGATCACAGTTCTCACCAATCGGATCATCCACTGTCATGCTTGGCTTCACGAACAAAATCGAAGTTTCAACATCCAAAGAGCCTCTTGTAGGACTGGCTTCTACTTCGAACTCTTCTTCCTCATTTTCTTCGATTTCCGAAGCGTCATTCGGTTCGATATCAAGATCGTCTTCCACATCCAATCCTCGCACATAGAACAGTAGCGATGCTAAGATAAGAACACTCCAAAGAAAAACGCGCATGATTTAGTTCGGAGGAAACCTGTGACAAGCAATTCAGAACAAAAGCATGATCAGCAGAAGCTTCGAAACGTAGAACATAACCGAAATAACAAACGCGTCGTAAGAGCCAGGAGGAAAAAAGTAGGAATGAACTCAGTCTCCGTCTTCGGCTTCCAAATCAAGACTGAGAAACGGGAGAAATCGGCGGAAGAAAGGAGATGGACACGCATCACAGGGACAATTGTCAAAAATATTCATGGTAATGCTCCAGGCTAGGAACATCTGGGTACGATTCATCTCATGAACGCTGATCAACTGACTGAATTCGCACATATTTTCAAAATTCGGGTTAACGTTACCAAACTTTCGCTCGTTTCTGCGTTCGATGCCTGCTCGATCAGCTAGAACTCCAGTGACATACACATCTTCGAGTTTCAGATAAGGTGTGGCTCTGGCCATGGCCACAAGTTTCGGAAGGACATCCGACGTGAACGCGTAAGCAGGTCCGGTAACGAAATTCGGAAACTTGTTTCCGCGGAATTCTCTCCAGTGAACGTACCATTTGGATTCTTTGTTACGAACAGGGTGAAGTCGAGTCAACAGACGGCCGAAGATCACATTCTTCAATTTTCGGCGCGCTAAGAAGAAATCTACTAGCCCAGGAATGTTGATGAACATGTCATCATCCGCTTTCAGGTAGAACTCGGATACCGAGCAATTTCCAGCCCATTCGAAGGCAGCAACTACTTTCCGTGTCAAATTACTGTAAGTATCAACAACCTCAGGGCGCAGTACGTCACGAAATATTTGACTTTCCTGCTCAATCACATTATCAAGCACAGAGTCATTGCTCACGAGACCAATGACAAAAAATACACGAATGTCGGAGCGACGTCCGAAACTTCCCCACGTTCCACGAATAGAATTTCGGCGCAAGACGTTCAGCGGCGCAGAAGGGACAAATACGGTAACAAAAGGGATCGTCGAACGAGACTGCGGAGGAATGCAAGCATCCTGGGGATGGCGGATTGAGGTAATGTCATCTTCAAAAACCAACTGCGAAAATGCAAGGTTCGAATTCCATTTCAATGGCATGTGTTGGACCTGGACCTAAAAAAGCAACCCCACGAAATATAGATACTCCTCCGGAATAGTAGCTCAGTACTGTACTCACGGTTTCTGGCTGAACTTCAATGATAATTGGGACAGGCACTTCCTCTTTGGACCATCTAAAAATTCTTGCCAAGAACAGCAACCAGAGTAGAAAAATGCATAGCACCAAGCGGAGCACAGATGAAGCACGAACTAACGATTTCGGTAGCATTCGGCGAAGATAAGATAAATCCCAGTCAGTCGGACGGTGTAGGTCGCACCACCCCCGACTTCGACTAAATCCTACCCGTCCTATAACATATTTTCCGCGTTGTCAAAACAGGATGCAGGTTTTATTTACAGGCGCTCCCACCAGCGCATCAAAGGGACGGAGGACAGAAACAATGGTGGACGATATGAACGGCAATCAGATGCTGACTATAGTAGCATACAAGCATGGCACCCTGAAATCAAAATTCTTCATATCATGCTAGGGATGAACGCCTGGAAATTTTAATATACCTTCCACACAACAGTACCTCAAAAATGCAATTCTCAATCACATGAAACTCATTTCGCATATACAGACCCAACATAACAATACAGATCCATGGATAAATAATTTTTGAAGTTCAGGAAACAATTTATTAATAGGTTGCATTGTGAATATGCAGGCATTGCAACAGAAGATCGTGATTAACTTTACCCGCTGCATATTCCCCAGGTTTCAGCACGTAATTGTGAATTTATGATAGATTAGTAAGAAATTTACGTCACCCACTCTAGCACCCATCGTTTCCAAATGTTGAAAAGTTCTGCATGGTTTATTGATTACAATTTTTGCAAAATTAGTGAAGTACCGTTCTGCAGTTCTTGGGAATCCGCAGATAGTCTGTGGGCCAGTACTGGCTGGTCAAAAGATCTAATCTTCCACCATTGTCCACATTTTTGATACCACAAATATTCCAACTATGGAAAGCTTAAAAAATTATTTCCTTCCTTTCAACGAAAATTTGCAGTCCTGCTGCATGCATTTGGAAGAAATTTTTCCAGTAGATCACTTCTCCATCATAAAATGAAAAAATCCATAGAACTGGCATCATCCCTCACATAATAAGCTGTTAACCACAACATATTCCTGTTTCCTCTGCATTTTGAAAATTTACAGGGCAACAGCATGAAAACAGTCTCCACATTGGTTCAGAGCCACCACATTAGCCCCAATGTGGTGGCTGTGAAGGCGGCTGTCCATGAAAATGGGGGAATTGACTTGGATGACCTGGAGGCAACCCTTAGAAAGAATGCCAAGTTTATCTCAAGAATTCTGAGGGGAAAGCTGGGCCACAAAAAAAAAACTTCAGCTAGGGTGCCTCATCTGTTGAGTGTAACACAAAACTCTGCCAGGGTGAATTTTGCAAAAAATTATCAAACAGGGCTGATTTTTTTGTGTGCCAAAAAATATGTTTGCCCAGCTAAAGATTACTTTTTTTCAACTGGATCAGACACCATTTTTGTTCCAAGAACTTTTGCTAGAACCCTTGTACAAACCCAAGAGCTCCTACCAAGTATTGTTTGTGACAATATCTGCACCTTGATAAAACAGTACCTTCTCTGAAAGAATGTTGCATTCTATTTAATGCTATACTCCAGCATTATTTGGAACTACAAGTGAAGTCACTCAACAATCTTGTCCAAGACAATTAACAGGGTATATTGTTTTTTACATACACATTCATTCCATATGGCTATTCTTTGTTGCTGGGGTTCTGTAAAAAGAAATTCTCTGTACCAGAAATTGTCTGTTCATTAATTTGCACTAAGAAAATGGAAATTACGGATAGCCTCTTATACTTGAGATAATTTCAAACCAAAAATTAATTGAAAAAATTTTAATAATGAAAGCCAAGAATGCTGGATTTTTAAAGTAAAGGGTGGACTCTCTCCACAATTTTCTCAACAACAGTGTAACACTATAAAGTTTCTTGGTCCCCATACAGGGTTCTCTACACATTCAACATGGGTTCTATACACAAAAACAAAATTCACAAATATTTTTTTCTGGTCCCTGAATTTTGTTGCAGTTTATGTACACGTGCGACATGATTCCGTCACGCCAATATTCGTGCAAAACATGATGAAATTAATTAATAAATAATGAGAAAAAAAATCAACTGTACGGTTAATACTGTACTACGAAACAATAAAGAGGATGCTCAACATAATCCTAATTAACTTCACAAGTGACACCATCAACAGAATGTACCATCATTTTTATTGGTCAAACATCGAAAATACTGGCGAACGATCGTCATCCAATTATTCCCTTAAAGCCCTTTTTTTATCGCTTTAGCGAAAGAGAAAAATTAAAAGGAAAAAGAAACCACAAGAACACAATAAGGCCTCATCCACCAGAGAGGCCTCTTCAACCAGCAAAAATATGGCAGACAAAAATCCCCGTCATTCGCGTCCTGAGATTCACTTTCCTTCAATTGTTTTATTCAAGCTCGTTCCTGGATTTGAATCCTGATCCAATTTTCCCTTCCGCTTCGGACTTCCGTTTGACATGCATTTATCTCTGCAAAAAAAATAAAATAAATCACATAACTTTCAAAACTTCGCAAAAATTTTGACATTAATGAAGAATGCGAGAAGAATCTAAAAAGCCCAATGTTCGGCAATATACCGCATACGGGGGTTTCAAAATTGACCGAAAAACGAGCAAATCAAGCAGCTCTTGAAGAAAAAAAAAGTGAAAAAATGAAAATTTTTCTCAACTCGATCAAAATTTAAAAAGCACTTTCGTGAAATAACTATGCCAAATTCAATTTACGCCAGCAAAATTAATTCCAAATGAGGATCAATAGAAATTGCTACCTGGTTAATTTACGAATGACTCGGAAAATCGGAAATGCAAAAAAAAAAAAAAACAATTATGGGTAAAGACACCCAGGTTCAGGATTTGATCTCAGAAATTCCAATTCCAAAAACTGAACGAATACTTTATACAGGTTGAATCTTTCTACAATAATCTCGTCTAAAACAAATTTCTCTGCATAACGAATTATTTTCCTGTCCCATGGGGGTTCTCTCCCAATGCTACAAGGGTTTCTCAACGACGAATTTCTTCTGGTTCCTTGCATTTCGTTGTAAAGAGTCTACATGTAATGTAGCCCAAAAGTTAGCTCAAGTGGATTTCATTATTTTTCAACGACAGAAATTCTTCGATTTTCGAGAAAAAATCCTTCACTGACTGACACAGTCACTGTACAGTATTATCATTCGGACTGACAATAAATTCCCACTTACTGAGAAATGCTCGTCAAAATGGAGTTCAGCGACTGAACCACGTATTCTGCGTTTCTCACTGTGAAGCACAACGGCGGCTGAAGCACCAACACGTTGTCGTGTTTTTGAAAAACATCGATCTTGTATTCTTCGAAAAGTCTAGAAAGAAAAAAACACCAACGAATGACAAACACACACAAGACAAATTTCCGAAAGAACGACGAGTAGATCGATAATTTCGAAATCTAAGTTGATAAAATTAGCGTGCATGAGGGACAAGTCCACGATTTGGATGATCCGTTCAACCGGTTTATTCCAATTTCAATGATAGTGTAGCTTACTTCAGCACGGGTAGATGTCGCTTCCACGATCAGATCGGTTTTACTTTCAGGTCGAGAGAAAATCAATATCGCTCCACACAGGAACATTTTTCACGTAACATCACTTGAAACTCCTGCCCTCTTAATTTAAATTGTCCCATTTTTATTTCATGAACTTCGATTCTGACCTTTTGTTCACTTCCACAGCCAACGGCGATTCTGCATTTCCAGGGTGAAAGCGCAAACAGAACAGCAACCCGCGTCCGAAAAAGGAATGCATGTAATCCGGAAATTTCGTCGCAACTGCGTCCAAATTTTTCTCCAACGTTTCTCCAACAGCTTTCGCAGACTTGATTATGTCTTCGTGGTCTATCACATCGAATACAGCGCATCCGATTCGACACGACAACGGATTTCCGCCAAACTGAGAAATAAAAATTATGTTGATTAGTTGAGGAATTATTTCAGTGTTCAATTGCGATAATATCAAGCATAAAAGGCGTATTTCAAAGATAGCTCCGCCTATCGGAAATATTTTTATTTCAAAGAATGAAAATACTTCTTCAAGAATAAAACGTAGAAAAATACGTCACCAGGAATTTCTGCCTCTCGATAATTGATTAATCATTCAATTTAAATCTTTAAAGGATATAAAATTAATACCACGTCAGTTGAGAGAGCAAAAAATAAAAATTACCAGGTTCTCTCGCACAGTTTTACGGACACTTGTCTTTTTTTCAAACACCCTTTAAATTATCTGCAGCAGTAGAAAGAAGTTCAATGAGATAAAGAGGCGTCATCAATTTGGAAGAGTAAACGTTATTTTTTTTCTCGGGCCATTCGATAACCTACGGATAAAAAAAGTCACTCATTCCGAAACAAACTCTGATTCAAAGCACGTGCGTCACTCATATGCCACAGACTTTGAATTCACGAATGCGATCCTTCAAGAAATAGTGTTCTCAGAATTCCAATCTAAGTCGGACGTCGAAAACAGGTCACAGAGTTACTCCTGCTCGGGGTCATGCGGTATTCCGGAAAGGTTTTGAAAGGGATTACGTAACGTTGTACAGCACAAGGAAAAAATTAGACCTTATTTTTAGACTTCCGAGAAATTTCAACAACCTCTAGTACATTGATCAAGTCCACGAGATCAAAAACATTGGCAATCATGAAGGCACTATTAATATCTGTTCTTTGCATCACGACATCATATCTACTAAAGGAAAAAATTATCCAGAATGAAAAGCACCAGAAAACTCGTTCATCAAACAGTTATAAAATGCAATGGAAGCCACAAATGTTGGCCTGATGCAGAGAAACCAGGATGATTTTTGTAAAAAGACTCGGGGAAAACAGAAAATACAAATGATATCTAATCAACCTAAAATCCAATCATCCGACCCTCCTTCTTGGGCTAAAAAAAAAAAAAAACTTACACTACAAAACCGAATATCACATGGGCTCTAATCATGAATTATGTAGCCCCTGATGTTGTGAGGTTCCGGAATTTTCCGCCAGATTTTTGAAGAAATTTTAGATTTACTACGCAAGTGAAAACTTTCCAGTTACCGACAGAATTTTCGACCCCTGTCACAAGGCGCTCAAAAAGTTCAATTGAACTAAAGCCAGGTAAAAATTAAAATGCGCCGTTTTAACCAATACTTGAAACAACAAACAAATTTAATTTTTTACAATGCCTGACTTTTTTTTAGCTCCCTGTGACATGGGTGGAGAACACTGGCCTTAACCAGAAAGTTTCAACTCATCATAAAGTAAACAAAACAAAAACTTAAACCCCCCCCCAAATAAAGCCCAGTAAACAAAACAAAAACTTAAACCCCCCTCCCCCCCAAATAAAGCCCAGAACCTCACAACATTGAGGGCTACATTACAATTGCTTCTCACAGTGGTATCTACTACCCCAGAAATAAGCAAGGTCGCGCCCGAGTCCGAGTGGGACAACCATCGGTACTGTAAAACCAGAAGTGAATTCCAAGTACAGTATAAGGATAGTCAAGTCATACCGTAGAATAATACTTGGGTACCGCGGCAGCGATTTGCCGGGACGTGAGCACAGCCGAGAGTGGGAACCCGTTTCCTAAAATCACACCCACTACCACCAGGTCCGGCAGGATCCCGATGTCAGTGAAAGCCCACATCCCAGTGCCGAGCCTTCCGAGACCAGTCCGAGATTCGTCCACGATCGTGAGGCATTTCGTGTCCTTCAGCAACGAACTACGCAAAAGAAATACGATCACAAAATTACAGGTGGATTCAAAGAACGAGGAAAAAAAATAATCGTTGTACTGTAGAGATAATTTTTGTCGTTGGTAGAAAACCCCTACATCATGGGAGTGAACTCAACGGGACCGAAGAAAAAATTCGCTATACACACAAGATCGTTGTAGAGAGAAGTCCGCCTGCACACTACTTTAAAAAAAAAAACTCCTTTTCCAATCGAGTCCATGATTCAGTTTGTTAATCAACAAAAACGCCTGAAGTTGTACCGTACAGTCGAACACCAATGAGACACAACCATTTGTTCAGAGAAGGATTTCGCGGTTTATTGAAGATACCATTTTTGAAAGAAAAAAAAACGGTACTGCACATAATTTCAAAACTCTTTCGAAAAAAATGAACTGTATGATTACTACATTTCAAAGTATAATGAAAACATTAAAACACGGTTAAAACGAAGCAAAAATCATGTATCGAGTAACTCATTTAACAATGTGGCTATTGGACAAGGACCTGATTAAATGACTTCGTTGTAAACGATTATTCGTTATAACGAAACATCGTTGTGACGAGAATCTACTTTATATCAAAGGTAGCGGAATCTCAACAGGATTTGACTGTACAGTATTATGCTATTACAAATTCAATTTCCGACTCATTAAATTCGAAATTAAAATAAATAAATAAATTTCAGTCGAAATGAGGAACTGAAGAACTCATCATTCCCCCCCCCCCCAAAGATAATGCAACTTAACCCCTGAAGCTTGAACATTGAAAAGGTGAGCATTTATATCTCTGTCGAATATTGAGCAAAACTCAAATCAGATAGCGTCGGAATTATTTGAAAAATTATTGTAATGATTAAAAAAAATTGCTTTAACCACAAAAATGAAGTTGAAAAAATATATATAATTTTCCAAAAAATTTTCGCCAATGATTCCATCAATTGTGGATGGAAAATAAAAAACTTATGACTCCTCCCACAAAAGAATATCGTCGAATTCAAAACAAACAAAAAACGTTTGCTTACTCACATGCACTCAAAATTACCACACACATCAACTGAAAAAAATTAATTTACGTGACAGCGGGGTTTCATCAGCATATCCTTTCGGAATAACGAGTTCCTCCACAGAAAATGTATCCAAGCGCTTTCATCACAACTTTCTCAATCCCAATAAGAACAAAAATAATCTGAATATACGCAAGAATTTATAAACATTTCCACAGAAAATTCAGAAACCACTTCAGAATTAGGCCCCCAGAGAAAAAAAAATTGATCAAAAGTGGCAAATGAGGGTGATTCAAACGATCAAACCTTGTGATGGTCTTCAGCAACCCCTGGGGAAATTGCAGGAATCCGACTTCGTCCATGAAAAGGAATGGTTCGATGAGGAAGCAGGAAAAATGGATTCCTTCCTTCTTCAAATTCTCAACAGCCTGCAGAACGCAGTCTAAAGGTACCATCCGGCGCAATACTTAAACAAAATGATAATCGTGTCTCCAAAAAAAAAACCGCACTCACCCCAATTCACGTGGAACTGATTTTCAGATACACTGATTTCGGGTTTCGGAAGAAAATGAATGGTCCACAGAAGACCCGGTACAGAACCTAAAAAATAAAAAATAAACACGAAATAAATAAATAAGAACACACAGTTGGACCTCGATAACGCAAATCCCCCTGAGCCCAAGTCAAGAACTTCCCATGTCAAACTTTTTAAAAGACTCATTCTGAATTCCCTCATAAACTTTCCTCATTTGGACTTTCACAAAACTTTCAAAGTATTATTTTGGTTAGTCAGTAAAAAAAAAATCAATAAAAAAGCGTGACTTGATGGTGTTCAAAGAGAAGTGAGCAACTTAATTTGGCAAATTAACCCTCAACTCCAAGTTTAGCATCCTGTCAATTCACTTTTTCTGCAGTTTAAGTCACCAAAAGATCACTAATTTTAATACAGTATTCTGTAATTCTTTCTTTCCATTTCCAACCAAAAATGGCTAAAAAAAAACCTCCCTCATTAGAATTTTTTGCTGGTTCCTTGAAGTGCAACTTGAAGAGGTTCGAAAGTACAGTGAACAAAATTCTGAGGAGTTACAGAGCTACCTTATGTGGTTTTTCAAAAATGAATTTTGGCCACTGAAAAAGTTGAAAATAAGGTTACTATCCTTTGCAGAAATGGGATTCTTTAAATAAATAAAAAAAAAAAAACTGGTATGTATCTCTTCCTTAAGGACATGCGGTACTTCTGTAAATATTGTACACTGATGGATGAACTGTACTAAAATTCAGGGGAACAGGAAATCTTTTTTAAAGAGAACCCCTGGAAGACCTAAAAAATTGGTATCACAGTTGAGCCTTGATACTGTAGTATAAATATCATGACTAAAATATACTGCACTTGGTTATGTTCCCTCATCTGTTTCACGTTCTGTTCCGCATTGTTAATCAAAATATTTCAATGACAAAGAAAAAAAAAGAAGAAAACAATTTTAACTTGATGTGATCTGAAAGCAAGCAAGCAAAAGACCAATTGGGCAACTGAACCTTTGCCTCCAGATTCAACATCCTTTCGACTCATTTAAAAAACATTTTGAGGCCCAGAATACAGCGTCACCAATTTGAATTTCCTGCAATTCTCATTTCTCTCTCCCCAACCAACATACTTTTTTCCCCTGACCCCTTTTTCCCCCGCTGGTTTCTTGAAGTTCGACTGTAACTAAAACGTCAAAATAAAAACACCCAAGCTCTAAAATTCGTAACCAAACTCTGGTACCGCGGAAACGGACTGAACTCACTGAAGCACACGAACTCAAAAGGTGTTCACATTTTGTCTTCAAAACTAACACATGGAATCAACACTCCAATATTTTTCTGCAGTTTGACAATCCAAAAAAGAGACAAAAAAGAAAAGAACACGTACCTTTCGACGCATCTTCGGTCCCATCCGCGCTGTTGGCAACAACGAAGGCATGCCTCACAGTGGCCGGCAACTGGTGCAATTCCACAAACGTACCCGCAAAAGCGAGTATGTTCTTGGAAAACGTGATCTGACTAGATAAACGGATGGCCAGGTCATTCGCTTCCGCATCTGCAAAAATACACAGAGAAAAATAAAGAAACTTTGAAAACACTTGAAAAGAGCACAAGTTCATATTCGATCAACTGATGATCGGAGAAAAACGCAGCCTTCGTTCCAAGTCTGCGGCGAGATTCGATCAAACAATCTCCACGTTTTTTAAACTGGATGTGAATCAAAATGAAAAATCAGAGGCCATCGCTCTAAAGAATTTGCACAAAATATTCCATTCGATCCGAGTGGAGATGCAATTTCGTGTGATCTGGAACACGGACGACGATCATCCGCGAGAAATTCAAACTTCACTCTTCACATTCTAATCAATGGGTGCAAATGTGATTTAAATATTTTTTACACAGCTTCACATGTATAAACGAATCTGAGCTGAATAAAATAAAACACAATTCACAAAAAAAGCCGCGGACGAGGAAAAACAGACAATAGATGGGCCGAAATTGCTCCTCTTCTTCCAAGTTTTTCGAGTCTCACGCTCGTATCGCATGAGAAGTGAATGATTTTCATCATGCTTCACCCAAGAATTCGACGAGTTTAAAGCCAATTCCGTTCCATGAAATATACACAGATATTTCTGCATGCGTAGCTGTTGGAAGCGGAAACGAAATTGGAAAACTAGAAAATACAATTCCCGAAACATTACCGTTTATGCACAAGTATGAGACTTCAAGGGAATCCGGGAACAGCTGCACCAATTTCTTAGAATACAGAGACGTCCACTTGTTCAGGAATCCCGGAGCCGTGCAAATTTGGCCAAATTGGTGGTGAGCACATGCTACGATCCGAGGATGGGAATGACCAACTGAAACAAACAAGGAGACAGAAACCGACACGGTTAATAATCAAAATATATCGAAAGCTCCTTTTCCCTCTTGAAATGTGGTGAGAAAAACGCGTAACTGCGTCATATACAAGCAGGGACAGTTTGAGAATCCTTCTCAGCAACAAAAAAAAACACGAGTTTGCGCGTCTTAATACGAGGAAATACCAGTAGTAAGCACAGTATTGAACTTGCAACACTATCTTCGTTCACTGGTTAGGTTTCTTCCGAATCTGTTCGCGTTTCCCTCTATGCACACAAATTTCAATGAACGTCTCGATTCACGTGAAAATCCTTCTCGGCCAAAAAAAAACAAAAATCGTTGGCGCGTCTTGCGCGAGGAAATACGAGTAGCAAGCACAAACACCACGAAGAACACTATTGAAATTGCAATTTGAACACTTTCTTTGTTCACTCAATAGGCTCCTTCCGCATCTGTTCACATTTCACTCTGTCCACACAAGTTTCAAAATATAATCTCACATCATGTAAAAATCCTTCTCGGCAACAACAAGAAAAAGTTCGCACGTCTTACGCGAGGAAATACGAGTAGTACGCACAAAAACGACGAAACACACCATTGAAATTGCAATTGGCACATTATGCCATAGAATATAATGCCACACCATTTTCCCATCACTACTCAAAAGATTACGGAAATTGATTCTCCGTACGTATTTCTGGTACACGTACCGCCCTTCTCAAATTTGTTACCGATGTTCTTTCGATAAATAACTAAGATTACATATTCTCTAAATCAAATCACGAAGACACTCACGTGAATTCAGAAAAAAAAAAACATTGCTTACCTATTGCGACGACGCTGCTGCAGTCGAGATACTGATTCTCGTGTTTGTCGTAAAGATACTGCTTGGAGAATCTCACATAAAACTCTTCTTCGTTCATTTTTCAAACACCCATTTCACCGCTATTGATACGACATCATTCGTCAAATCCCCGACATCAGCGGAATGATCGAATAATAATTCAACAAAATGCATCACTGTCACAACAACAACCAAAAAAAAAAAAACCTTTACGTAGGCATTTTTCCAAGCGGCTACCGAAATTTTTCTAGTTCGACAATTCATAACGTCTCCATCGGTCAACTACAGACTTGTTTTTATAAACATCGCGAAAATATTTTTCTGCTCTAGTTTTGAAAGCAACTCAACGTATGTAGTCCAGTTCGTGAATCGTGACTGACCATTACATGCGTGACTGATCGAACTTCGCTCCACAAAGGAAGAAATTGATCAAATTTCAAACTGTCGCGCATTCGGAATGGTTCAAACCCATCTCGTAATAAGTTTCCGTGAATAAAAAAATTAGAACCAGTTCCGATTCAAGTTATGTACAAGGAATTCTATCTAATGAACGTGGGAAACGTTTCCATGCTTCGTCTTCCAGTGTTATTGTGCGGGTCTGATGAGGATGGAAAGAATAATATGGTACATAACTTGTAAAATGCTGCTTACCAATCTTCTGAAAACACTCGTATATTTTGAACAACAATTTTTCGAAGACAGAGAGAATTCATAGATTTACAAGTGAACAATACTTTGTCTTACTCAGAGTTAGACGAAGTTTCGGACGGTTTACAAAATAATTGTTCGGAAAGGTCACTGATCACAGGAAAAGAAGATCACGAGTGAGTCTTGGAAACATTTCCAATTTAAAGAACTCACGACCTTCAATCTAACTCCCTCGGTTCAAATAGTTCTTCGGCGTCAATTGAGTCACAATTTTAGACGAAGAAAAAAAAAAGGGGGTTTCTCACAAGAACGAATAAATATCAGAACACGGAATAAAGCAACTAACGACTGAACGCGATGTTCTGCTCCGCGACGAGAAAAACCCTGGCCACCGAATGACCCGAACATTCTGAAGACGAAGGGTGGAGAATTCTAGATAATTTTTTTGGCACCAACGAAAATTACTGAAAAACATAACTCAGATACTGTATAATAAAACTCGCATAGAACATTTGTCTGTGGAAGGAAACCTTGGGTCGCGGACGGTCAAGGGCCCAAATTTATCCTGACCATAGCAACAACACTCGATATTTGAATCATGGTTTCTGAGAATTTTCCGTGTACCGTTTTCGAACACTCAACTCTTCAATGCACGCGTGTGTGTATCTTCGTTTTGCTTGGTAGGGAATTCCATAAAAAAAAAACTCGCGTCAGTCGTCAACTGTGATAAGAATCATCTCAGAATTGACAAATCGGAATACGCAGTAATTTCCAGAATCATGGAATTCATTCGATGAAGAATTCCGTTGGTAATGCGCACAAAAATTCGACTGGAGTACACGTACAATACATTTCATCCATGCAGATGTTCCAACATGAACGGTTGACCAAATCATTTTCAAAAGATATCAGAACTAAAAAATGACGTCAGAAATGCCGAAAAGCAGTATTTCGACTCGACCGTGGATTCATTTCAGCCCATCTTAAAATGTACGCACATCCGTCATTTGCAATATGATATCCATTACCGTACAGGAGATGCCCTCTTCTAATTATCTGTAAGGCCTTTTCGTCAAGTAAGAAGTTCAAGGGTTAGAAAATAACATTCTCATCAATGGCGACGATCGTTGGAAATGTTTTTCGCTAGGAATTAAGGCTATTAAATCGTTAAACTTACACTGTGCATCAATTTGAACAAATTGAACTCGACCTGAGGTTCACTGATCCTAAGACATCCTCGTTCTCGGAAAAACTGGCGTTCGTTTCCCTGAAAATTTCTCAGAATATGTTTATTTTTTTTCTCGCGGAAAATAAGTCTGGTCAATAACTCATGATACAATCTTCGAGATTGCCCAAATGATAATATGATTCATATCCAAACGAACGAATTGAAAGAAGCAAAACTGGAGTCCAAGGACACAGACGAAATGATAAAAAAGGTAGAGAATGAAGTTCCAAGAACGGATTCTCGGACAATAGAAATTAATGCAAACCGCAGCAGAACGTTTTCTTTAAAATCGTTCACAAATGAAATCACGACAAATCAATAAAATACATGCTTTTTTTTCTTCGTGAAAGAATTGGACAAACGCGGGATTACCTATAGTTTTCCGGTTAAAACAAGTCCATCGAGATGCTAAGCTCACGCACCGACAATTTCGCAAACCAGCGGAGATTCGAACACGAAAACACGTTCACTCTTTCACACTACTGTATTAACAGGAACACTGAAAAGATACGGTAGGAAACGTCACAGATTGCTAAGACCTGTGGGAAGAATACATCCAACGGCAGATCAAACAGATCAAAATAAGGACAAATAATTTCGAAAGAAAACGAAAATCAAATAGGAGAAATTTCCCGAAGTTGACGTATTCTCACACCAGCTCGTGATACTCCTTCTGACCTTTCCGCATTGGACAAATGCGGGCACTTGTACACGAGACTGCGATATGATGCTTTAGTGAATGATGAGCCAGTCAACGCAATTTCATCGAAATACAATCCAGTACGGTAATACTGTATCGAGAATTCAACCAAGTCGGTGAGCATCTTCATAGAAAGCCAGAGACTCCGAAACACAGAAAATAAAGTAGCGGAACACTTCATCAAAAGGTAATCTTTGAAACGTATATTTTCTATAGCCAGGACATGAATGCATTATTTCAAGATGTCGTGAACGACAGAATGACATTGGAGAAGCTACGGCAATTTCTTCCACATAATTCGAGAGCAACAGTATGCTATAATCAACGGAATTCAAGCCAAGATGGTCTTCAGAAGCGCTAGAGGGGGACTGTCGCTTCAATATTGGAATAAACTGAAGTAATGCGCAACAAATGAGTCGAGAAAAAAGGTGATCCACAAGATACCAACACAGCAGTCAGGAGCAAGAAACTATTTCAATCAGTCACGCAAAACTTGACCGCGAGACTACCACACAATCGGGTCACAATTAATATTCGCATTCACCGTCTATACCCACGAAAGCCATCTTCAGCCACATGAGTGTATATGCATCCCGATTTAGTGATATTTTCTCATGGCAACACAAAACTTCATGCACGATCAATTATAATACAGTATAACACCACATCCGGAATTCTGAAGACAGACGAATTTGAGTCCACCCAAAATTCCGTCGCTGAACATCAAACAAATCTAGACACAACATTCATTCACTCCGAGAACCAACAGAAATGAAGGACTAAAGCGATAATCATTCAAAGTTCCCCTTTGTGGAAGTCTTGCGAAAATTCTCGACTTCCTTAGTGATTCACCGAAACAATATGACAATTTCCGCTAAAAGGACCACTTCATGTTTCTTTCGATCACGTTTTCTATTCGCACCGTCCTACATTTGAAAACTCGCTCTGTTGTTTTCTTCCATAACCTTGAATGCACAAGTTCCATGCGCACATTGCCAAAGCAACTCCCGTGCAGTACTCACATCTTTCGCGGAAGATCTTACGCTGAACGACCGCGTTCAGCAGGGATTAGCGTCAGCAGGTCGCCATACGGCTATTCGTTAGAGAAGTTAAAGGATAGAAGAGCTCCCTGAACTCTGGTGTGAGCAGGGTTCACACTTAATGTGTACTGTATTACTCATTCATGCTTCTCATTCATAATACTGTACTGTACTGCATCAAAACTCACGCCCGCATACCGTATTCGACATCTAAGCGAGGGATGGCATTCATAGTTTAGGCTAATTGAAGGTTATACCTACAATTTTTAAAAAATGTTCTTGTGTGATATATGCATACACTTAGAAGTATATCCGGTTACTGTGCAAGGAATGTGAAGTACAGTATAATAGACTAGAATTCATATTTACTGATGGTTTAGGAATTATGCTAACATTTGAACATCCTTACAATAATCAACCGGTTCAAGCAGAAAGAACACAAAGACTAAAAATCAGCCAATGGACAGGACTAAATAAAAGAAAGCAAATTCACCCTACTGAACCATGCTGGGCACTATAAGTATACCGCATACAGTACTTCATTTGCATGTTCAATCTGCAGGTTGGGTCAGCAGGTTAACTGCTTTTTGAATTAGGATATCTCTGCTAAAAATTAAGCTAAAACAATGAAAAAATACCAAATGAAAGCTTATGCAATTCTCTTTCAAATGGTTTTTGTTTTGCAGTCCCAAGTAAAACATCATTCAAATGGAAACTTAAAAAAAAAACGTTGTTCTGCAGTAACTCCTCCTGTTAAGCTGCTGTCTCCAAAACCTCCCAAAAATTACCTTAAAATTTGGGCAATAACCCACATCAGTCACATCTTGCATTAACTTTTGCTAGAGGGAATCCACAGCCTTGAAAAAATACACCATATCCTACATTTGACTCATTTTCACTTATAGCTTTCATCTCACTAAATTAAGGAAACAATAATAAAACATGAACATTTGAGAGAAAAGAAACAAAAGCATGATGATGCAGCCACAAGAAAGCAGGAATTTCATGTACAGCAGTACTCTCATTATTTTATCATCAATTCGTTTCTTATTTTAATTGATCTGTGTTCTGTTTCTTATTCTTTTATTCCAGCTGGAAATGCAGTTTCAAGGAATGATAGACAGCATTTATCCTGTGGGATGTTCAATTAATTTTCGCAAGAAACCTGTCGTGCTCCTTATATGTAATGTATGAGGCACCGTAGCTGGTGCGTGGCACCAACAGAAATTATTATTCAATCCCCACTTCGGTCGTTATGTGTCGTGTACTTTCTGTTGATGGAGGGAATCTTTGTCTGTCTTTTTGAAAAATATACACCCTCCCTACTGCTGCTTCACTCGTGTCTTCCAGAGAACATGGCTGCTGGTAAGTTTGTTTTCAATTTTCCTTCAACTTCCACGTCTCCAATAAGAAAGAAAGCAGCAGTTTACGTAGGTGCGAAAAGCGCAGCAATTCCTGCTGTGAAAGCAAGAAAAGTCGACGACAAATCGCTTCTGCTTCGGTTCATTTTAATCTTCATGACAGAAGTACTTTTCAAAAACAAGGGGAAAAATAGGAATTGCACCATCCTCGT